AATATCTCTATCTCTCTCTCTCCCTCTCTCTCTCTCTCTCTCTCTCTCTCCCTCTCCCTCTCCCCCTCTCTCTCTCTCTCTCTCTCTCTCTCTCTCTCTCTCTCTCTCTCTCTCTGGTTCCGACCCACAGCGCGATGACGACTTCAGCTTGTGAAGAAATTGACATGTACATTTACATTTAATATAATAATAATAATAATACTCCTGCAAATAACGGGCTGTAATGCTCATCACATGTGTTAATCAGAGGTGAATAAATTGTGTTTTACTGCTGATTAAGAGTTCAGTAAATCATTTCAACCCCCCCCCCTCACTCATTGTAGTGACTCTCTGCTGCAGCACTCAGAGACAGGGGCAGGTTGAAGCCCACCGATGACTCACATATGGACTCCGCCAAAGCTCCGAGACGGGCGGGGTGACAGAGGGACTGCAGAGGTGTGCGTGTGCGTGCGTGTGTGTGTGTGTGTGTGAGAGCACCTCTGTCGTCAGCAAGCCTGCACTGTGGTCTCTATTTTTGGCTGCTTGTCAAATCTTGTCTGGTAAGGATCAGTGTGTGTGTGTGTGTGTGTGTGTGTGTGTGTGCGTGCGCTCAGTCTCATTCATAAATCCCCTCGTGTCTTCGTGGTCGCGGTGTTTGATGCGAGCTCAGTCGGTCCTCCACCGACCCGCTTCTATTCACACTATTCATCTCTGTCATATAAATACTTCTCATAGTATTTACTTCTGTTCCACTCACAATGAAGTACAAATGACTATGAATTAAGGAATAAGTGTGATTATTAGAAATCAATATTACTTCTTGCTTGACAACCACGTGTCTCCGTTCAGGAAACTTTCTTTCTGGAAACCTAAAGGTTTGGATTCTGAGAAATCAAAAACTGTTGTGCCCTCTGTTGCTTTAAAAAAAACACTTTGCATGGCGACAAAGAGCGATGAGTCATAGAAGCTCAATATGGATTCATGGGTTCCGTGGTCGTCTTTTATTCTGAAGGGCTGCAGAGCAAACAACAGAATAAAATCAGCCTCTTCATTAATGTCATGTTGTCGTACGAGACATTTGAGGACCAAGAGACGCAGAAGAAACACAGAATAAAAAAGCTTATTTCAATCTCGGCCTAATTATATTTTTCCTCACGACACACACACACACACACACACACACACACAGAGCAGTTTGTACTGATACGTCCGAGCTGTCTGGCTAATTGCTTGTGGTCGTGCATTACTGGTAAACAGAAACCAATTACAGCTCAGTCCCGCCCACTCCTCCACTGACGAGAAGAAGGAAGAAGCTCCGGGTGTTACTCGGGTCACATGAGAAGTTTCTTGCAGGCAATTAATATTTCCTTCTTCTTCTGACTGAGCCGGGGTCACATTCTTTGGGCCGGATCTGAAACATTTAATGTAATCATGCAGAATGCTAATTGGAGAGTGAGACTCTGATGGGACCTGTTTTTTATTTCTTTCTACAGACGATGATTATAATCCTGCTCCATTGTTAATTGATGAAACTAGACTATATAATTTATTTAATTTATCACTTATCACTCAAGGTCCACCTACTGACGCACAAATTCTTCTCTGATTTCGTTACCGCCACCAATTAATATCTGGATATTAAACAATCTTAAAGAGAAACAAGTTCAGTTCGTACAAATGCTTTTTCCAATGTTGCTGAATCTGGTTCGTCATCTTTCCTCCACTCTGGAATCACCGGCCTCCCTCTTCATCACCACCACAGCCAATCGTTCTGCTCCTTAACTCGGGCCGTCGTGTCGAGGGGGGGGGGGGAGGGGGTGAGACAGACATAGAGAGAGAGGGAGGGGGGGTTGTGAATGGGTCTGCAGGGTTTGACGTCAGCCTCTCGTTGATTATGTGTCTGTCTATGTCTGTGTGTGTGTGTGTCTGTGTGTGTGTGTGTGTGTGTGTCTGTATGTGTGTGTGCCTGTCTGTCTATGTGTGTGTGTTTGTCTGTGTGTATGACACAAGGTGTTTACAGCACACTACGCATTTGTCACCCTTCCTTGAAAACCAACAATAAGAGTGACATCATCACAACATTTGTCCATGAGGTTTGGACGTCGTCCCGACGCTGAAGGTCAAAGGTGATTTAGCAGCGTGAGTCACTGGGTTTCGTGTCGCTTTGTGAGAAGAAGAAGAAGAAGAAGAAGAAGAAGACTAGGACAAAGTAGGAAGAGACCTCTTGAGGAGCCCCCCAGGGGGAATACAGGTGTATTCATTCAGACAGCGAGAGACAAAAGAGGTGTCCTCTTGACCATTGAAGCATTAACACACGTCCCGGTGTGAGTCTACACATGATGACCATGTGTCCCCTGTAATAATCCCGCTGGTGCCCCTGAGGACACAACGAAGGCGACGTTAACTTCTGTTCACCTGATTAGAAGAAGACATCTCATGTTCTCTTTGGTCCTCCTCCTCCTCTTCCTCCTCGTCCCCGTCCTTTCTTCACCACTGTTGTCCCAGCACATCACACGCCGTCACGATGTCTCCTCTCTCCTCTGACTCCGCCTCTCTTCGCCTCGGGCAGCTGATGGAGAAGTTGTTCTGAGAAGGTTATAAAGAGCAGAGATCTTCTTCTTTCTCTCGTGGTTTCATGGACCTCAGCTTCTTAACGTGTTAGCATGAACACATGTTATATGTGTATGTACACACTCTTGACTCCCTCGTGAAGAACCAGCAGAACTTCACGTCTCTGTTCCGTTGCTCTGGAGACTCCTCCTCAGCCCGTTTCATGCGATTGATCGGGTGTTTGTTGCTTTCGGCTTATTGACTCTCTCGAATCATTTCTGCGGTTTCCTCTTAGAAAACCCTGGTTTTCTTTCAATGTGTTTGTTTTCCTAATATATATATAATGTATATTTCTATAATATCTTCAAGGGAGCATCTTTGGTCCTCACATCCACCATGACGGCCTCACAGCGGGTCACTTCCTGTTGAGGACGCCTCACTGCTGTCCCTCGGGAACAACGTGGACGGTTGCAACACCTTTTGAGTGGACACATGGAAGCTGTTAAAACGTGACGTAGAAGGACTTCTTGCAACACGAGGTCAATGACCTTTGACTACCGATGTTCCCCAGTCAGATTCTAGTGAGGACTTTTATCATGTTATTCATGCAAAAATACCACAAATACAGTTTAACCATTTTCAGAATGACTTGACTTGTTCTGGAAATGTGGGAGATTTAGAATTCCTGAAGAAAAACCGGTCAACCCAAAGCACAAAAATGAATATATCGAATTTGTGTTAGGTTCAGGAAATATATATGAACAAAATGCAGGAGGCACAATATTTGTTAAAAGCAATAGATATAGATATTGAATATATCTCTATATATATATATATATATATATATATATATATAGCAGAGAATATCATTCTAAATGAATTCTTGGCCTACTCATCATGTTCGAAATTGATTTTCTTCACACCATCCCATCACGATGTAAGAATTGTCCCTCTAATGGAAATGGAAAGATACAGGAATTATTTCAACATATCCAGAAATCTTATTGCTTTAATGCATTTGCTGTGAAATTTATATACGGACCATTATTTACTTTTTTATCTTTAATAGTTGAATTTTTTTTAATTAAATCAGCTAGGATAGTTAG